CGCCCCCCCCCCAAAAGGGCAAAAAAAAAAAAAAAAAAAAAAAAAAAAAAGAAATGCACATCCTCAGATACTGCGAGTTTGCATGGATTCAGCGGAACACCATATGTATAGTTATTGCTTTTGACAAGAATAAACTTCCTGTGTATAAACTCTGAAGAAATATACTTTCACATCTCCTGTCATTTTAATAAAAATTTATAAATGTAAGTTATGTAAAGACAAACTGCAAACATACATATGTTTTACAGCTTTACAAGAGTAAAAATGACCTTTGAGAAATGATTTCATTCCTATATGAGTAAAGGAATACTTACTAGCAGACGACAACATTCTGCTGCTGACAGATCTGAAACAAGTGAAATAATGAGAAGAGTTACTGGGCGGAAGAAAGAAAAAAACAGATCATCATATTATTGGTTAAAAACAAATGCAAAGCGTGAAGGGAAAACTATTAAGACAATTAACATACATTAAATAAGGTTTAAGTAAAATAAATAAATTATAATTATGTACGAAGGGATAATATTGGAAATAAAGTTAAAAACCTGCAAGTGAAAACATTTACGCTGGCAACCTAAGCCTTGTTGGCTGCATACGTTTTAAATGTTGCCTATTAAGCTATGAAAGTTTTGAACAAACACATAAGACGATCACGACGAGCATTTAAAAAAGAGACAGTACAACTAAAATAAATACTAATGAAATAAAAATAAGACAAATTTGATAATTTGGCATATTGAAGTGATATTGAAAATGAACTCAAAAATGATTTCACAAAATTAGAAATAATTTGGTTTGTTAGAGGGATGGATAGTAAAATAGTAAAATCATTACTTTGATTACTAATAAATATTTAATATAATACCTGCAAACAAAAACTTAAAAAAAACCTTACAAAGTAAGTGTAGTATCTCGTGATTTCCAAATACTTGCATTAATCAAAGCCATGACAATGTCTCAGAAATGGACTAGAAGCTGATTACACAGAGCTGATGGGCCGCTTTGTGTCATGGTGGGCAACAATCCTCTCATCTTGAATGTGAACAAAATGAAAGAGATGATTGTAGATTTCAGGAGAAACCTTGTTAGATCATAATCTATATCCTTCATGGGCAAAGAAGTAGAGGATGTACTTCTTGAGTAAACTAAGATCCGTCAAGGCTTGCAGCAAGATGCTGCACATCTTCTATAAGATGCTGCTGCCACCATCTGTTGGGGTTGCAGCATCAGAGCCAGGGACCTGAAAAGGCTCAACAATCTGACAAAGAAGTCTGGTTCTGTTTTGGGGACGACTGTGGAATTTCTGGAGATGATGACACAAAGAAAGATTATACATAAAATCAAGTAAAATTATGGACAACCCTGACTTTCCTCTTTATGAGACAGCATTAGAAAAACAAATCCCCAGTAATACAGACTGCTACAGGAGAGATTTCTTTCCCACAGCCATCACAATCTACAATAACTCTCTACAACCACATTTAGTTTCCCTTTGTAACGAAGAAAATATTTTCACATTTTGAATAGCTCACTAAAGCTTAAAATAAGAAAAAAAGTTTTAACAAAATCACATAGATTTTTTTACAACTATTGTTATTACTATTACAAATAAAGTAACAAAGGTGCAACAGAAAATCTATCAATGGCTCAATGGTGACTCGTGAAACACCAAAACATCTGTAATTCTCTCGAAGATATTCAAAACACGAAGATCTATCGCCATCTTGTGGTTATGTCTGTTTGGAACCCAGCCCGCTCCTGCGGTCACCATGACAACATTTTATCTGTTGTTAGCTTGCAGGACCTGAAAAAAGTGTAATTATAGGAAAAGACGACACAAAGAAAAAAAAATCTGTACTCAAAGCCTTAAGAAGTTCTTAAAAACCTCTAAATAGTTGGAGCTTTTACAGTTGAAGCCAGTTATGTGGATTTCCGGGCAAATTAAGGTCCATTGTGTTCTAGAAAGCGAATTTGTTCGGCTACGCGTTTAGCCGCAAGCTAAAGCTGATACTCACTCGGCTGTGTCAGCTCCGGAGTCCACGGTTTCATCCCCGGCTCTTCGCCACATCGTCAGGTCCACTCTCCTTACATTTGGGCTCCGAGCTTACAGTTTGAGCAGTGTTTCCAGTAAGCCCACTCAGGAGTGTAAAACATCCTGATTAGTTTCCACAGCCTTCTAAAGTGGGGGAAACAAGTGAGACTGGGAGCTTACTGGGACACTGACGTCACTAGGCAACCGCAAACCGTTAGAATAAAAAGAAATGCATTTACTCCAGACCGTACAAAAACAGAAGAAAAAAAACCCCGGGATGAACCTTCGTTACAGCGTTGAGAGAAAATAGTCTGCAGTTTGCTTGGGGAGTCGATTCTGAGCGAAAGGGAGCACAAGGAGAAGTGCGACTTTAAATCCAAAGCCGCCTATAATAATGATAACAGAGAGCAGATGGCATGAGTCCCACAATATGGGAGGACAAAGGAGACAGCAGACGGCCTGGACAGATTTAAATGAGGGGACGTGTTGACGGGAGGCTCTTAACCCTGGAAATTTAAGACCTTGTTTGCTAAGAGCATTAAAACCTATGAAAGACAAGTTAGATGTACACCCAGAAATGATACGGCGCTTTAAATCTGCAATCGTGGGAGAGTAGTCAATTTGTAAATAACCTCATGAATTAAAAGATCAGCACTGTTTGGTGATTTGTGGAAATATATTCCAGTAATTTAGTCCTTTGTAGGAATTAAAAAAAAAAACAAAAAAAAAAACGGGAGAAAACAACTGTTTCTAAATTAACATGCAGTTTTACGAGTTTTGTTCCAATAATTCCAATGTATAAATATATACAGATAATCTTAGACTTATTGTATAAATTTGTAACATTTATATGGCATACCATTCTCATACCAATAAACCACATACTGAAAGCATTAATGCCAATGCACATTTTCTTCAGATACTCCATCCACTGCAGTATCCATCTTTGCTTGTGGGTCTTTCATCAACCTCTGCTATAAGCCTGCAAAGTTAAACCTCTTACAGCTCAAAGACTTTAATGGTTCTTAAAACATTTTGAAAGTCACTTGCCTGCCATATCCATCAGTTCCAGTTGATCAGTTCAGTTCTGTGCTGGTGACAATATCATAAACTCAAATGAACACAAAGTACAATTAATCCAAAAATCAAATTAAATTTCTTAGTTTATGGATTTAAGTTATAGGCGTTTTGTTACACTAACTACACAGGTAACGAGGGAAGTATTTCAAATCCTCCCTGAAATCGAATGAATCTCATGCAATCAAACCAAACAAAAACATTTTTTATCTCTACATTTATTATGATGAAAACAAGGCCCTGTACAATCCACCTTCGCAGAGTACAATTATTTTACAATTTGTACATATTTGCAGCATGGTGCGTGACCGGTTCCACCTGTTCAAAATGTCTTTGGAAATAAAATCTTGGAAACCTGCAACACAACTAGCCTTCCATTAGAACAGATCATTTTTGGCTCAGCACACCACAGGCCTAAAGTAAAAAAAAAAAAAAAAAAAAAAAGTGCCATGAGAAGCAATGCATTTGTTGACTTTTAGGCCTTTTATTCCAACGATGGAGCCACAATATAAACGTATGCTTTAAAGCACCAGCTGTTGATCGCTCTACTCACCAGTACAGACTTGGCCACGTTACTGAAAATGGCATTGAATATTTGTCAGCTGCGAGAGATGTGCACTCTACTAAGGATGTAAAATAAACCCCAAAACAGTCAAACTTTCAAAAATAAATTAAACAACTATCACTGTTTCTGAAATATTCAAAATGTATGTGTTTTGCCGCGGTTGTAAAGCAGGTCTGCACCAGTTACCACAGTTCATCTTTTTATTTAAATCTAAAACTCCTCTGTGAGGAAAAGGCCAAGACTGTCCAACCTGTACAGCCATTATTGTGCCACGAAACACAAACATAACACATTGACATCAACATTTAAAACAGGGGAGTGAGTTCAGATGTTTTCTCCGTCTCCATGTAGCCCCGTGTTTGCTATTCTTCACTGTGTGTAGCTAATTGGCAAACAGACAGGTCTCTCCAAAGGCCACAAGAAACAGGATTTTTTGTGTGTTTGTTACAAAACTATATTCCCCTCTTTTCATTTCTTTCAGCAGAAGAAATCTAATATTGCTAGAAAACTTCGCCATCTTTTGCATGATTTTCCCCTCTTTTTTTTCTTCTTTTTTTAAAACACGTTTATGGAAGAAAGGTTAAGCTTCCCAGTGTGTCCCGAATGATGAGAGCATTTCCAAAGTTCATCAAACACTTAGCAGTCCACAAAAACAAGGCCCTCAGTTTCAACTTGAAGCTAGCTTTCAGTGGATTTACTGGTTATGCTACATAAGTGTACACTTTGCGGTCCTCTGGTGTTCTTGCCAAATATTCCCTCTCAATGAGTCCTTCAATTCGCTTCTTGATGACTACTGGACTAGGAAGGAATCGCGCTCGCAACTGCTGTGTGACCTGTGGAGACACGGAAAGTAGAAATCAGAGCCAAAAGCTAAATTTTGTATTATGCTGTCGTCATTCTAAGTCTGTAACATGAAATATTAGTTGGTTAACTTTCAGGAAGTAAAAAATAAATAAATTTAAACAGATTTTTATTGTTACAATAAAAGGCACGTGAATACTTTAAGCTGATCAGGTAGCTGAGCTGCTGAAGTATTTAAATATAAGCAGCAACAATTACTAAACCTTCTGAAGGGAATGTGAACTCAATATATTTTCATAAATCTGCCTTTACATGAACAGTCACTGCTCTTTGGACTCAAAGCCACTGACTTACCTCTGCTACTAGGACATTGTGCTGCATCTTCTTTCTAGATTTCATGATGCGAACAATGGCTGCTTCAATCTCATGCTTTCTGTCATCGTCAACTTTCTGTCGCGTCTCCTTCCTCTCCGGATCAGACTCTCCCTGTTTAGCAGCCACTACAAGAAGAAGCACAACAGTTATCGAATGAAATGCAACAGAAAAAGAACAGCTGCTTTACTGCCAGTCCACGTGTTTAATAAAGCCTGGAAAACATTGCTGGAAAGATTTATGCTTAATGCATCGTTTTCTGCACCATCTACGACTGGTTTTATGTTCATCACTGCCTCAAACAGTGTTTACAGAACAGAATCTAGCTGAAAATATTTCTCCTAGATCCTAAAAGTAAATAGACAATATAAATTTCTACTGCAATCTAAAACAAAACAAAACAAAAACGGACGATCCTAAAGCTAAGATGACGATATCCCAGCAAGTGTGACAATTCACTTTATTAGTACAAGATGCAGCTCAACACCAGTGGTGAATTTCAGTTAAATTGTTGGGAGAAATATAATAATTGACTCACTGACAAAAAAGGCAAGCTCATTCATCAACAGACGGTCACAAAAATCTGTGATGAACCAGTTGATCAGCCGCCGACTGGAGGGATTCATTTTCCCTATTAAGTCTAATTAGGGATCAGCAGGTTAGATATATTTTTCTCTACTCATCAAATCCATCAAACATAAGAACTGCCAACATTTGGTGGACATTTGTGAGTTCAATAAAAATCTGAGTAAGGGCAAGAACAAAATGCTTCGATGCATAAATGTGGGTAATCTTGTGATTACTTTTTCTGTGAATGGACACATTTAATAATAATAAAAAACGCATCAACACTGAGCATTAGTTTTAAGTACAGAAAACAGCACGGTTTGCAAGATGGTACTCTGCGTACCTGTCTGAATTTTGACCCGGTGCAGTTTAGAGGTAAACTGGTCATTGACTGTAAACACATGGCCATTTTCAATCTCCTTAGATTTGGGCTCTTTGGTGAGAACTCTCTGTGTGGGCTTCCCACAGGCCAGAGACTGCAGCGCTCGCACCAGCTCCCTCTCAGGAATATCCGTCTCCTGCTGGATTTCCTGTGTTGAAAACAGTTTCATTACAAAAAACTACTACGACAGGGAGAAGAACCTGAAACTTTTTTAACTGTATTTCTGCGTATTATATGAAAATGTAAGCGTGACGCATGTTGAAGTGATGAGGACAGCAGGGTGTGACATACCTCAAAAGTGGACTTCTCCCTGTTGTTGAAAAGCATGAGAATGGTCATCTGAAAGGTGGACACTTGCAGGATGTGCTTTCTGGTGTTGGAGCCCGTCACCTGGGCCCCGCCCACTCCGACTTCTGACCCGTCCTCCTGCCGATACATTACAGGCTCATTATAGAAAAGAACTACTCAAATACTGACAAGAAAAAAAAAAGCAAGAACCCACTAAAATATGACTGAAAAGACATTTTCAACTTCAAATGTGTGAAATGAGAGAACACTTGAAAGTGTCGTTCAGTTTAACATTTGATTTGCAAAAATTGAGCTGCCCATTGTTATTTGCATTTGTTAAATTTTAGAATGAAATCTTATATAAACAATTACAGTTCCACAAAAGTATCATTTGACCCTTTTCAGTTCTTTTTCCTTTTATTGCTTCTTCTCACACCTAAATGTTTTAGATCAACAAATGGTAATGTCACACAAAGTTACGCTCAGTAACACAAAAAATTTGATTTCAAGTGATGATTTGTTTAATTTATTAAGAGCTAAAACTATCCAAACCAATTCTTCCCTAAACCAGTGTGCTGCTTTTTGGCAAACTTTGGTCTGCTTTGTGTCGTCAGACAAGTTTTGTTTAAGTGATGTTTTTTGTTCTTGATCCATGCAAAGGAAATTTAACTTTGCTTAATAAAAATGCAGTTAATCACAATTAATGATTTCATGCAGTGTCAGAATGATTTGAATAGTTTTTTCTTCTTGATAAGTAAGATGATAATTTGAAAACTATCTTAGTATTGACTTGGTGTTTTCTCCAACATTAAAATTTGATTATATCAAGCATCTAATTGTGGCATAAAAGGAAAAAATGTCTGCAAGGGCCAAAAACTTTTTACATAGAATTGTAAATATCATAACTCCTACTAAAGAAATGAGAGAGCATTTAACATAACACAATTAAAACATGTAAAATCTAACACGAGTGTTTCGAATTTACGATCCTTTGATAAAATTTCCTGTTTGAAGATCTTTGATGTCAGACAGATTCTCCCTACATACCTTTTTGATGGGACCATAGAAGGTGGCATTTAAATCTGCAGAACCCATATGGTGCTGTAAGGTGAGTTGTCTACCACTGTGCTTACCAAGATAAAACCTGCAACCAGAGGAAATCAGGCTTTAGTTAACTTCCAATACCAAGTCAAGAGGTTGCCACCAGCAAAGAGCTAGCACAGTAGTGGAGGAACACAGGTGAGAATGCTGCACACAGTGAAATGGAGACTCACTGACATTGGCCTGATGTCAAGGCAGTAAACAAAATGCCAGTTCAGCAGTTATCTGGATTAGACTGCATAGAACTGGAATAAAGCTTTTCCTCTCAAATTA